TGACTCCACATTTGGCCAATTATGAAGGTTGGGCAATGTTTGTGGATTGTGATTTCCTTTACCTTGCTGACATTAAGGAGTTGAGAGACTTGATTGATGAAAAGTATGCTATAATGTGTGTTCAACATGATTATACTCCAAAGGAGACAACGAAAATGGATGGAGCAGTGCAAACTGTGTACCCAAGGAAGAACTGGTCTTCCATGGTGTTGTATAATTGTGGGCATCCCAAGAACAAGGTCTTGACACCTGAGGTTGTGAACAGAGAAACAGGTGCTTTTCTTCATAGGTTTTCATGGCTTGAGGATGGTGAAATTGGGTCCATCCCTTTCGTCTGGAATTTTCTTGAGGGACATAACAAGGTTGTCGAAAATGATCCCCAAACACTCCCCAAGGCCGTACACTATACTCGAGGAGGACCATGGTTTGAGGCTTGGAAGAATTGTGAGTTTGCTGACCTGTGGTTGAATGAGATGGAGGAGTGCACGCAGCAAACAAAGAAGAAAACTGAAAATTAGCAAGAATCAGTAGCCGACGATCTTCGTTTTAAGTTTGAGATTCATTGTTGAAGTTCATTCTATCCTACTCTAATTTTTTATTTATGTGAAATGTGTTAAATAAATCCCAGAAGAAGTTAGGATGAGTTTGCTATTATTATTATTAGAACTGAACTAAAAATTTCTTCTACATAGAGTCATAGACCTTAGTTTGTTCAAAGGGTTTACATTCTGTCTTCTGGGCTGATATTTGGTAATCTTGTAATTCTATTTATTCAGTTTTTTCATTGGAACCATAGAAATATATTTGTATCATTTGCAATCGTCGGTGTATAACTGCTGATTGATGAATAGAATGTGCTGCAATATTTTATTGAAGGAATTTCGGTGTGCGACGACACCGTTTGGATGTCAATACTCAATCTTTAGGTTGAATTTGGTGTTTCAACCCTGACCCGCCCAACCAACTCGGGTCTGAGCCTTTTGATTCGTGTTACTTCTTCACTCTGCCTTTTGAAGCCATTTTTGTCCCAAAATAGTTAAAAGGTTAAAATTATTTAACTTTTGTTCGAAAATAATTTTTTTTATCGCTCATTAAAAGGGTTCGCTTGAACTATTTGATCTTCAATTATTGACAAAAAGTGGTGTTCCCTCCCCACGGAAAATTGTAGCTATAATAATTTTGGTCGTATGTTAATTTATCTCTCTTATCACATGATTGATACGTACTTATTGGATTGGATTTTTCCCTTAGATATGAGCTTTATTTTGTCAAAGGAATGGGGTGTACAAAACACCTTTTTGGGTGCCTTGGGTTTAATTTGGTATTTCAACCCTACCCGCCCAATCTGACCTAAAAGATTAAACCCTTATTAGCCTTACCCGCCCAAGCAATTCGGGTTTGACACGTGTCAGTTGTCAAAGGAATCACTTCCTCACTCTGCTTCACACTATAAAAACGATCCCCATGGAAACCATCTCCTCATTTCATGTGTCACTGAAACCAGAAACCAGAAACCCGAACCCAGAATTTCTGCAGCGCCTTCTAGAAAACCTACCGCTGACCGCGCCACAATCTCTGCCATTCAACAATGGAGTTTTGGGGTATGCCTCTCTTTCTCTCTGATCGTTGATTTGTTAGGATTTTGTGTTCTCATATACGAGTTATGCCTTTTCGTTTCTAGCAATGTTTTGCCGTTTGGTTCCCGAGAAAACTAGGGAAAATGGTAGGACTAGTCTGGTTAGGTTTTCATGATGTGACTTAATATCTTACAGGAACATGACAGACTAAGCCATGATTCAACTGTCTAACTCGGTCGTGATGAGTCTTTTTTATTTTCGTTTTTTTTTCCCTGGTCATTTTACTCCAAGTAGGAAAGCGTTTAGGGTTTTTATTTTTTCTTTTCAAATGATTTGTTTTATGCTCATTTAGAACTTAAATGGAAAGAACATTTGAGTCTGAGTTCGCTGTACATATTTCAACTGAAAGAAAAAAGAACTATTTTGTTGTCTTCTGCATGTTTGTCACTAAATCATATTGGCTTCACACATGGGAAAGGAAAACCCCTTTGACGCCTTGTTTTCATTCTGAAAACTTTTGCCACATTACTTTTTGTTAGTGTCAATGTTTCAATTGTTAATTTACTACTTTAATGTGACTCAATTTCCAGGTGTTGAGGTAAAAAGTGGGCAGTCTGTTTCTGTTGAACCTAAAAATAAGGTCGTGCATCTTTCACAGGTAATTAGCGAGCTGTTTAAATTTGTTGCTTTTTTCCTCTATTGTCATTTCAGCATGGTGTACAAATGACTTTTATCATGTAGGTTTGTCTGGATGATGTCAAGAAAGCAAAGGGAAGCAATCCTATTTCACTCTTTGTGAAAACTGGCAATCATAAACTTGTTCTTGGAATTCTTTCTGCTGAGAAATTCCCCCAGTTGCCTTTGGATATTTTTTTTGGAGAGAAATTTGAGCTATCCCATAACTGGAAAAATGGGAGCGTCCACTTCATTGGATATAAGTCTCTGTCGAAATATCCTTTTTGTTAATGCCTTTTCATGTTTGAATGTGATGTTTTACATCTAATAGTACTTTCTTTGATCATTGAATCATTTGTTATCGCCTTGACTGCATTCTGATTTGTCTCACCACAGGTGATAATTCTGGTGAGTCGCTGTTCTAGCATGTGGTTTTATTGTAGTTCTAACTCTTAAGCTCTTAAACTCTTAACCTTTTTTTTTTTTTTTGCTTCCAGATTCTGAAGAGGATGTAGCACTTACTGTGGTTGATAATGGTAAAGATATGCTTATTTATTATTGAGTAATGTGATCTGAGTTTTGTAAACTTTTGCTTCTGTGATTCATAACATGTTTACATAGGAAAACCTGTCATATCAGGCAAACCAAAGTTGAGTACTGAGGACACTAAGAAAGCTATTAAATCTGAGCAAAAGGAAGCTAGTAGTGATGATGATGAATCCGATGATGAAGAAGTTGGTGCTGATCAGGTACTCTTATTATCTTTCTAATCTGTTTGAACACCATGTTGAGTGACTGAACCATTTTACCCTGTCTAGAGTTATTGTGACTACGGTGGTTGACTGACAAAAGGTACATTTGTAGCAAGCATGTTTTTTCTTATATTGTTAATAGTGCCAATTATAATGGTTCATTGCCCAAGTTATATATGTCAAAGACTTGTGCTCTGGGATGGGGTATCAATGTACTTAAGAAGAAATGTCACCTTCATCTCTGTTGCTTAGGTATATTTTGTCATGGTCTTTAAAGATTCTAAGCAGAAAAACTTTATTTAGTTATTAATTTCTTGCAATATAGATTTTGGGACGGGGAAATAAGTATTGGGCTCTGGAGCATGAGTACTTGAGCACAGAAGTTTCCCACACATAACTACATATACCAGAAGTTTGACCTTTTAAAACATTGAATTGACATTCGGGCTTTAAGATTCTGTCTACACTTTGGAATTATCAACTCCTTTCATTTGGAAATTTTGTTCAACTATAATGATGTGGTTTTGCATGGATTTTTCTGGATAGAACAGTAAGTACTGAATATATCTGCTTGCTGGTGTGTTATACAGACCAAGGTCAAGTTTGAGGAAGGTAGCAGTGAAGATGAGGATGAAAGTGATGACGACGATGCTGATAGTGAAGATGAAACTGATGACAGTGAGGAAGAGGATGAAGAGACTCCGAAAAAGGTAATAGCACTCTTCTTATAAACACCTTCATGTGGAGAGTTTCAATTTCAGATGCCCTCTACCCTTCTACACTGTTCTGCATTGTTATCATAATCCAATTATTATTGTTAAGTAAATGCACTCGTCTTATTTATTGTTAAGGCTGATGTGAGCAAGAAGCGACCTGCCGAGTCTGCTAAAATACTTGCTAATAACAAGAAGGCAAAGTTTGTTACCCCTGAAAAGACTGGTAAGTTCTTTGTATTCCGATGTTATTATTTCTCTTGTTACAATTTTAAATTTCGATGCTTGCTGTGGAAGACACAAATTACAAAATTTCATAAATTTACACATTTAATTTTCTAAGTTTTAACGCTTATGGACTTGTGGTGGAATAGGCTGCCTGTGGCATCAGTCAAATTGACGATGTTATATGTTACCTTTAGATTGAATATGGGTCTGGGTGTCTTTAAGCTGTTTCAACTCCTAATTCTATGATCAAAATGGAGATGTTTGGCTGACTGCTAACTGTTGGAGCAGATAGCAAGAAAGGCAGCGTCCACATAGCAACTCCTTACCCTGCAAAGCTGGCCGGAAAAAAACCAGCTACTTCTGACCAGTCAAAGCAGCAGGCTCCAAAATCAGGCGGCACATTCAATTGCCAATCGTGCAACAGGTATTTTTTTTCTTAAAAAAAAAAGGTTCGTCCAAATTTCTGTCTTGTTAAAACAAAATTGTAATTTCTTATGCTATTGTTCTTGCAGGTCGTTCAACTCAGATGTTGCATTGCAAAGCCATACAAAGGCAAAGCACAGTGCTGCAAAGTGAAAGGCGGTGTAGTTCCGACCATGGTGATGTTTGGGATTGATTACCGGAGGAAGTTAGGTTTAGTAAATGTGAAGAGAGAGATTAGCTTAATTATTGGTTACTAACTGATCTTGTTATTACCAGGCTTGTATGAAAATCTTTTGCTGTTGATCTGGGAGGCATTTTCTTATATACTCGTTTTGGATTCTAAGGTTTTGGTACGTTCTTATGAGCAAACCATGCATTTTTCTTAATATATGAGAAATTGGTCCTTCGCTCTCGTTTCCTACCCAGAATTGGTCAAAACGAAATCGCAGTCTATTGGAAGTCGAGAACAAAACATAATAATAAAATAAACTTTTCAATAAATTTTTTTTCAAATAACCACATTGAGTGAAGAAACTACAGAAATTAAATGCTAGAAACAAAGAAAATCGAGAAAAGTGCTTTAAAAGTACAGAAAGTAAATCCGTCAAATACAACTTCTCCAAGGCAAAGCCTCAAAGTCTCCTAGCTCGCCTAGCCACTGCTTCATATTGTTGAGGAGAGAGTGTAATTTGCTTATGAAATGTCACACGAATGTCCATCTTCTTGCGGCCTGAGAGAACCATGCCATTAAGAACACCGGATATTTTGTGAATCATATCACGTACGCTTTCTAATGGTGTCCATTGATCTTCGTCTGCGGTGCCTGCAGAGCGAGAAGAATGCTCGTTCCAGCGCAGCCTGTGGCCAAGGAACTGGAACGGTATTTTCTCGTTTATCATATGATCAACTGTCATGGTGCCTATAAGCAATCGCAGTGAATGTTCTGATTCTAGTGGTGATGGTAATAGCATGCCATCGAATGCGTGCTCTTCATCGAGGTCTCTGATTGGCCATCTTTTGTTGAGGTCAGTATCAGAATAGTAGGTTCTCTTGACATTCCAAGTAACTGAGACCACCAGATGATCAATGGAAAGGGATGGATCAGCATCACCATTCGACTGGGAACCTGATCGATCCTCTGCCGTCACGTATACGATATAGTCGTCATCGGTGTAACTGGGTTTGAAGGCAGGCGACATCTTGAACTCGATTGGAAAGCGAAGGTTGTGTTTGTGTGTGAGAGAGATGTGAAAAGCTTTTGTTGATGGGTGAGAGATTGATGTTTGCTATAGACATTGGTTTCCTTTTATAATGATCATAATCCATGTACTACTCTTACAAGGATGCCTTTGTACGCAAGAAATGCCTCTCATTTATCTTCGTCGTAGGAGATTAGGATTAATTGTTTCCATTTACTCTAGGGAGTGTGATTTCTTTTTTATGGTTTTACTAGTCCTACTAAGAGTATGATTTCATTTTTAAATGATTTACTAGTCAAACTAGGATAGGAAATATGTAACTATGGTTGATCTTGATGATGAGTTTGGAGATAATCGAGCCTATTTTAGCACTTCCATTTCTTGACATGCCTTCCCATTGGTATTGGTAAATTTGGTATTGACATGCTTTTCCATCCGACGACAGAAGCACTCACATTTTTTGTCATATCACAAAATGCTTTTTAGAGTAAAATTGTTTAATTGGAATGGGAAAATAAATACCATACTTGCAAAGAAAATAAGAGAGGAAAAAAAACAGAGATCAAATCAAGCTCTTGGAGATAACCCAAGAAAAAAGGATTACGATAATCCGAAGCGAGGTACAATAAAGGATTAGGAGTATGATTAGTCACAAAATTGGATAAAGAGATAGACTTGTGATTAGGGTTTAGGAAGGATTGGGTGGAGGGGTTAGGATTGTGATATTCATAAATTTCTATTATTCTCCCTCAGGATTTGAGACTTTCAGAAAAATATAATATCATTTGATTCCTTCCCAAACAAAAATTACAGAGTTCCAGTTAAAGTCATGCTTCCCATCCAAGCCAAATACGCTTGGCATGCCATGGGCACCCTGTTTTCACAGGAACCCAAAATAGTTACTAACGGTAAAAACTGTTTAAAGCGAGCCATACTACTATACTATCTAAGAAAATTCAATACAGGAACTCGGGAAACAATAAATATATCACAAAGCTGAAATTAGCAAAAGCAGCAATAAAAATCACGCTAACAATTCTAACAACATGGTCTTAAAGACTTTAATAAGACATCTCAGACAATATTTCATAATTCTAGTAAAAACATTTTCGTCCCTTACTTCCCGTACACTTGGATCTTTCCTATAATAATAACTCACCCTTGCAGCCAGCGTTTTCCTGCACCAGGATCCAGAAATTACCCTAACGCCTCCAAAACCCATCACATTTAATACTGGACATAGCTCTTGGACAACAGCCAACTTGTATACAAGTAACACGGTTAGCTGCCTGAAATAACTGAGGCTTGATCTCAGAAGCAGGAAGCTTGCTTTTGTACCTATCACGCTACTGCTGCTGCTGCTGCTGAGGATCTTCGTAGTACTGATCGCTGTTCTCAGCGTAACCATTCCATTCATCATCATTATTGTTATTGTTGTTGTTATTATCATACTTACTTCCGGAGTCCACCTGTTCCCGTTCCCTGTTCCATTGCTCGATCTTAGCCCTTCTTTCAGCACTGCTTTCCCTGGCTGGAGGACTCCTATTCCTTTTCCCCCCAGTGCCCACAGGGCTTCTACTTCTTCCTCTACGTCCGGGACTACGGCTTCTAGGCCTCCTTGCTTTATCATGGAAACGATGATCTCTGTCATCATCTCCTCCTCCTCTTCTGCCAAAACCGCGACCTCCATGTGGTCGCTCCTGATAACCACCACGATGATGCCTTTGAGGACTACGGCTTCTGCTTCGACTGCGACTATGCCTTCTCCTGTTTCTCCCAAATAATCGCCTCCTCAACTCCCTAAAATTGGCACAAATAGGTTAATAAACTACCAAGTCATCATGAAAATCAGGCTGTTTGTAAAACAAGAGAAGAATAATCTCACCTGCTAATTTTCTTCAAATGCATGAAGTTGCAATAGCCACCTCGATTGCATACATTTTCTTCATACTGCCTACATGTAGCTTCACGAAAATCCGTCACCGGGGAAAAGTCAACGATGATGGGGCGCCCTAGTATTTTAATATTCATCATATTCCCAAAATGTTATTGATTTCATGAAAACAGTAATCTAACACTAATGAGTACTATCATTATGATGAAGAATTAATAAAAAAGATAAGACAGAAACAGCTGTGGCCACAACCAACTAACAAAATGATCAAAACTAATGCTTTCTCCTAATTCCAACAAATACAATTACAAATCCCTGAAACAAGACAGAATTCTACCCACATACTTCATTTCAAAGAATAAAGCTTTATTACCTTAACTTGTAAATGGTTAAACTGATTAACAGTTTTACATGTCACTGAGGAACTAAATCAGTGTGCTTTTGTCTAATTAAAAAAAAATAGTGCAGACAATATGCTAATCCTTGCTTAACTGTGAGTTACCTGACCAAAATGTAGTTCATCAGATCGTAATCTATGATGAGTAAAAGATGAGCCAAACTACAAATGCTTATGGCTCAGAAATTTCAATTCGGTGGTGCCAACCCACTTGGACTAAACTAGCTCTGGTTTGAAACTTTGAATCTCAAATCCCAAAGACCTTAAACCAGATTTATTATTAAATCCCATGTATCTATATAGCTCACAAGTATTCATTGACCATTCTCTTATATATACCTAGACGGTTATATAATAGTGTATCACCAAGACGCACAATTATCTGAAAAACTATGCACACAACAGGTTTTACTATAGAAATAAGACTGTTTACATTAATGCCAAGCCATGAAAAGATCATGCATCACCATAGGAAATGGTGATATAATGACTGATGGAATTTGAGTAGCTCATTCAAATGACTTAATCTACTAAATAAGGTCTTCTAACAATATAAAAACAAAATATGAATGAATCCTGAGGCCAGACCTGATAGATGGCATTTTTTTATATATATTTTAAATGGGAGATTCACGCATTATAAACCAACCGAGTCTTCAATGAAACTCAACTCTACGTTGGAAAGTTTCAATAATATTTTGCAAAACAACACACTCTGAACTGTGATGTTGCACAGTACATCTACATAACATATATCAAGCAACAGATGAAAATTGACTTCTGCTGAACGGATTACAGCGGCAAACAAAGTCGCCACACCATCATGACTATTAATCTAATGTATCAGAAATTTAGATGGAAGGGGAATGGTAAAAGCAACCTGCATAGAACCTCCCAGTGAGATTCTGAAGCGCAGCTTGAGCATGTTCTTCCTCCCTGAACTGAACGTACACATTACCAACCTACTCGCAAACACATACCCAAACAATCAATTAGTCCGACAGAAAACTTATTAACAAAAACCAAAATAGAAAAAAGAGAAACCCTAGAAATGTTACCATGTGGTCAGCCAAATTATCACAGATATTCAAGCTCTCGATCTGTCCATACTTGCTCAGCTCCTCAAACAGATCCTCATAAAAATCCTGCACTCAACAATCACAACAAAAAAAAAAAAAAGTCAATGACAAAACCAATAGCAAATTCTGATTCAAACCTAAAGAAAAAGAGAGTGTGTGTGTGTTTCAATTGAAATTGGGGATGTGATTGAAGACCTCGAAGTTGTCTTGGATCTTTCGAGGGTCTAAGGCTTGGCCCTGGGGGTCGACGCCGGGGTTGGTGAGCATATCGGGCCGCTGGTACATGTTGGAAAGCAGAAGGGTGGGGCTGATGCTGGGCTTGGTGTGGAGGCGAGAGCATCGGTCGCCATGCCTGCAAGCACCGATCTTGAAGTAGAAGGGACAGTTGACACGGTCCTTCTCTGTGCCGAAGATGGATGCTAAGTGCTCCGCCATAGCTGAGACCTGTGAATTATGATGTTGTGGCCCTTCTCTCTGTTTTTGATCTTATTAGGGTTTTAAGTTTGAACAAACGCGCAGCTGCAGCGCTATATTGTTTCTAACTTGTATTTATGTGAGCAACGAATATATAAAATAAAGTTCAGAGGAATAAACAACAAGCAGGTTTGCCCGAGAGGTTAAGGGGGTAGACTTAAGATCTACTGTACATAAGTACGCGTGGGTTCGAACCCCACAGCCTGCATATTTTGTATTTTACTTTTTATTTTCAGGTTTTTTTTATATAATTAATTAATTAATATACTTACCATAATGTAGCTTCTTACCAAATTAATGAAATGGAAAAAATACAATTTTTTTTTGGGAGTTTCACTAAAACACCCAAAATGGGAGTTGAAATTATAAAAAAACCCAAGCACTATTTAAACATATAAACATACCCAAAACCCATTATTACACACACTCAAAACTCATTTATAAACACACTCAAAAAGTTGATTTTGAGTGTGTTTCTATGTTTAAATAGTACTTGAGTTTTTTTATAAATACATGTTTAGGATTGGGTTTATTTATAAATTTGTATTTTTTTTTTTTATAAAATATATATACATATATTTTCTTGCTTAGATAATTTAGAAGTTTATGTTCTTATTCTTAAAGTGTTATATGTTATGTACTCTGCACCAATTATGCATTCACCGACTTAATTGTTAATGTTGTGTACGGCTCCAAATCTACATTCACCGACTTAACTGTTAGATTTTAACCTATGCAATGTACATTGATCTTCAACATGTGGTCATCAACGTAATCAAAGGTCCATGGTGATTCTTTTCAATTGAAATCTGTAGTTTAAGATGTCAATAGTAGTTTTTTAAAATTTTGTAAACACAAGCGATAATCTAAACTATTCTAAATTAATCTAATTTAGAGCTAGAGGATTCGAAGTTTCTACAACAAGGATTCAAACTTGAGTGCCAAAAAAGGGACCACTACCTTCACCAACAAACCTAACCCACTTATTCAATCCAATGGCGATTTGTAAATGAAATGCGTGTAATGTACAAAATTAGAGAGAACTTTGAAAATTTAACTTCGGTTAGGATTTAATAAGTTGCAAATAATGCTGGCCTTGTCTCAAATAAATAAGGGGCCTAGAAAGAGCTTTTGGGCGTTTCTTGTTATTGTTTTTATGGCAACGACTTTTGCGCTTTGAGCACAAGGTCGTCTATTATAATTGAACACCATGGAGATGAAGAAGTGCCCTCTCAAAAGGCGAACTT